TCCACCGCTATTAACCTTAAATATTTTGAGACCCATCCATAAGGGTGATGCTTGATTGGTTTGAGCTTGACTCCAAATGTCAAAAGTACCAGAAGGTCCAAGATTCAAATTCAATGAGAAATTAAAATTCCTTCTATGGCCACGGAGGTTCAAATGCGGTGACTCCGGGCTATCTGCAAAGCATGTGGTCGCCCTGGGATTAGTCGGCTCGCATAGCGGGTTGGATATCCAGGTTAATCAACAAAAAAAATTGAGACCTATTCACCAGTATTAACCTTAAATATTTTGAGATCCGTTAATAATTTATTTTATGTAATATTCATTGCTATTTATGATTATTTATTATAAATACTATTTAAAAAAAGATAGTTTCTTAATGTTTTTGAGATTGTTACGTAAACCTTGCTCTATAAGTCAATAGTTTAAAAAAAATATTTATTTTAATAAAATAGACATGTTTTTTAAAAAGACATCAAAATATAAATATAGACTCTTTCAATAAATTTATTTCAAACTATAGAAGTTAAAAAAACATCATTCAAATTATAAACCCTTAAATTTTTAACCCCACTTGAATTGTAGTACATTGATTAAGCTTCGGATATGTAGCGGGAAATCTCATTTACTTGAGTTCGAATCTAGATGTTGCAAAAAGCCTTTGTGGCTATGGAGGTTCACCTGCGATGACTATAGACCATTCGTGATCGTCTTGGAGATTAGTCAGAGTGAGTAAGGGGCCGTTTATCAAAGGCTTACTCGGGTAAGCGCTTACCAGGTCACGTTACCTCACCGGATGAATATGGTAAGGACCAAAAATCTTACCTGAAAAAAGCGAGACAATGACCAAGAGTCTTACTTGGTAAGTGAGGGCGACGATTCTTACCACGGTAAGCACTTACCCGGTAAATTGTTGCATGCGATGTCGTTTTGGTGGACTAAAATCTTACATAATAAGTAAATAATAATGTTAAATTTTATTGATAAACACTTATCGGGTAAGTATTTGGTAAACGGCCCCTAAGTTGTCCCAGAATCCACTGTTATCCAAACAATTGAATATTTTATTATTTTAAGAAGAAATCATTAGACAATATTAATGGTATGGATTTCATTAAAATTCGAATTATTTATTTATTTTTATCGTCCAAAGTAATTTTCAAGAGAAAAGACGGGGAACTCTCCTTCGTCAATTAGTTGCAGAAGTTCAGAAAGTTGTAAGTTTTACCTTTTTTGTGCAAAATTCAATTTTGTACATTTATAAAATTCGATAAAATCATATGATTTAGAAAGAAAAACATTATACCCACTTTAAAGGTAAAGTTATAAACGTGTCTCAATCGGCTTTTTGAAAGTGAACGAGTTCCAAGTATATTGGTATCAAGTTCAAAAAACAAGTATACCCAAAAAAAAACGTAAAAGTATCAAACAAGGGTTGGATCCAAAATATTGGTAGCTTTTTCTTTTGTTAATCGTGGGTGTCCATGCCACTGACGTCAGTTTAACATACCTCGACTAATCTCAGAGGCCCTAGAGAACAGTCAGGAAAATGCTAGCGACCTTGTAGGACTCGAACCAGTGACATTTTGAAGAGAACCCCCAAAGGCCAAACCTTATTGTCAGTTGAGATAACTCCACAAGATTAAAGTATTGATATCTTATTGAATCAGACGTCATAGTTTCTTGATTTCAAGATCTACGTATGACAATCGATTCCTTGAACAATACAGATGATCGTGATGACAGTTGGTTCAGGTTGGATATAAAAATAAACCTTGACGAGGTAAAGCTTGTTGTGATCCATTGGTCCCTTAATATTTTGGATTTTTCGAGTCGTCACCGGCATCAATATCGTAACTAAATACATATATTCCGATACGTAATAAATAAAATATAATATTAAATGAAAAATAAAAAGAAGAAAAAAATAAAAGGCTTTTAGTAGCTTCCATGAAGCGCGTTATTTTCTTCTTGTATATCTAAATTTTAGTGTGGACTTTTGAATAAAAACAAGTCATGGCTGCTGTTATTGGAATTTATATCAAAATTAATTCTTTATTTCAAATGACCATTTTGCCCCCTTTATCACAATTTATTTATTAATTATTTAATTATATAATATTTTTTAATATATTAGTCAACCAAATCATAATTGCTGGATCATCTAGTTAAGCTTCCAAATGGATTAATCGGTCAGCCGAGGATTAAGCTCAAACGAATTTAGTAAATTTTATATAAAAGTGAGGTTAGTTTATCAAAATAGATGGTGTAAAGAGTTTTTGACTAGATGGATTCATCTAAACCGTTAAATTATATAAACCGTCCACATCGCATCGTAAAGTACGGTTTAGAACTACTACAGTGTTGTTTGCATTTATATCAAACCATACGATGTGATTGAAGTGCAGTTTGCGGTTTTGAATTAAGAATTTGTGGGTTCAAACTGCATCACATATTATATATATATATATATATAGATGTTGGTTATTATACAACCCTTTACATTTGTGCAACCAATACAACTCAATCTCAACCGTCCATTTCATTTGATGAATATATGATTTCATAGAAGTTTTGATTGTTTCCTAATATAAAGTATTGATTATAATTAATGAACCATATTCATCTTCCATAAATATTTCAAATCATAATAAATGAACTCTCATCATTTCCATAAATATCTTAATTTATTGGGTTGCATTGGTTGTACAAATGCGATGGGTTGTATTTGAAACAAAGTCTATAATATATATATATATATATATATATATATATATATATATATATATATATGATATGGTTAGGCTAATTTAGGGGTTGTTTATTTGGCAAAAAAAAATCTGTTTTTTAATGGTTCAAAAATCTTCTGAATGATTGTGTTTTGAGCCTCCTTTAACCATTCAGCGCCCTAATTTCGTTGTGATTAATTATCAAACAGTTATATTTCATTTTGCACTATATCATGAGAGTCTCTTAATCATTATGACCATTTAATCATTCTGCAGTCTGCACCAAACCATTCAGTAACTATCAAACAACTTCTATAAACTATTTTTTATTATGTAATATTTATTTGGGAATCTAACGTATTTAAACTTTATATTTGTTTAAACTACGGTCACGTTATTGTTAATTTTTTAATCAAGTGTATCTTATGGTTACTTAATTGTAGGCGAATAGTGCGTTAGTTCCAAACCTCACCGCGAACACCCCTAATTCTAACATACAATACTTTTGGGTTGACTTGTATACAATCTAAAAATGGGGTGTTCACAGTGCGATTTAAAACTAACACACTTTGCGTATTTCTATTCAATAACTGTATTTGTATTATTATGTATTTGTAACACTGACATACAATACTTCCACATTCGTTTTATTATGTATCTATAACGTGTTTTATCGTGTTTAATCCTTGTATCCGATGGGGCGGTCGGATTTCGTCCTTGAAACCCAACTTCTCTCGCATTTCTGCCTTTCCACCCGGAACTTCCCTTTCTCTTGGGTTCAACGGTGTAGTACTATTTTAACTAAAATGCCATTCATAAATCATAATTAATCTCGAATTAAATAATCCAACACAGAACTACATCAAATAAGCATGTTCTATGTTTCATCACACATTAAACGAACATGTTCTAGTTTTGAAGAATCTGGATTCGATGTACCAAATTATTAAATTAAAACAACGTCGGTGAATAACTTCATACCAAAATCTGGTATTTTTACTATCCATAACACTAAAATAACGCTTTCATTGCCTCCGGCATGTATCTTAGTTGACAAAGAGGTGAGACGACTTTACCCAAATACAAGACAGATTATGGGTCGATTCCCCAATCTTAGCCCTGAATGAGCCAAAAAGTACCTCACATTCGTATCCTTGTAGACGGGTTTCGTGTGGGACCGATTTCGTAACCTTTTGTCCAAACAGACGGTGCAAGTGCTGATTGAGAATGTAGAGAGTCTTAAAGGAGTCAACCGCATAACTCGATCAAAAACAAAAACACATCCATCTTACAGTGGTTGACGAGGTCGTGTGGTACCCAACAAAATTTGGGTTCTTTATGTTCCCACCATCAATCAATATCCTGCTTTTTTTAAGTCTTGGTTTCAATCGAATTATTTGATTTTCTGCACATATTATCATAAACCGTATACGTCATCGAATGTAGTTGGATGGATGGATTCTAAAACGTATATTGTATATATCTTCTTTTGAGAAAGATACTGATAGTTTGGTTGTTTTACTGGTAAGTGTACTGATCCAGTAAAAGTAATGTTGTTTACCCACCCATCTAATCTGACCCACAACATTACTTCTACTGGATCAGTATCACATACCAGCAAGGGGCCAAAAGCCTAACTTAGGGGTTGTTCGGTTGGTTTTCCATTAAGTTCTGTATGGATAAAGATTTTAGGGGCTGTTTGGTTGGTTTTTCCTACCAAGTCTTGTATGGATAAAGATTTGTATCGATTAATATGTCTGTATATGTTGGAAAGATTTTTGCTTAAAAGAGTTTTTTTATAGATGGAAAGAGTGCGTTATTTAATTGGGAAAGACATTTGGAAAAAATTGGTTTTCTACGTAAAGCTCCTCACTGAATAAGTCACTTTCTATATCATTAAATCATTACCAAACAGTCATGTATAGTTAAAGTTAGGCTCTAAGTTGCTAACAAACAGAGCCTTAGTTAATCAGGACCTACTAAATATCCGAGCCTAGTGAATTCAAAATTTAGGCCCGGCTCTAGAAACGCCCGATCAGACTGGCCCAACCCTCGCCTATAAAAGCCCAGGCATTTTTCAGAAGCCCGTTTGCTCATTACACAGGCTTCGAAAACCCGGGACCATACCCCAAAAAGCCCATGCCTTGTGCATCTCTACCACTTGTATCAGATAACAAAAGTGATAGCGACGGTAAACAAGGGCCCCGCTTGGACCCACCCAAGAGTGAAAACGAACCTAAAACGTCTTATTTGAGACATACGAGGTAGAAAGAGTGACCTAAAACGGCGTCCAATCTACCATTTAACAACGATAACAACAAATACAGCCAAAAAAGGTCAGAAAATCGAACATTCAACATAATATTTATGACAAGTTTCTAATAAACAAATAACTCACGGGACCTTTCGGATGACAATATCAGAAGACCCGTGTCTTCGGGGGGGGTAAAAGAACCTTCATTTGTTCCGAGACCAAAATTTGATCGATTTAGAGAACAAACACATGATGTAAATTTGCAGATAACAAACACAGATTAAGAATCAAGGGAATATGGATCCGACCTTTCATGTTAAAACTTCAATTCTTGAAACTGGTCGATTGGTATAGAAACTGCTTCGGAAATTTACACCTGCTCGAACCAAACCAACAAAAATCCCAAATAAGAACTAAATCAGATGTCGAAAATACCCATTTGAAAAAACGATTCAATTTATGGTTATACCTCGCTGTAACGGATGAGCCAGATAAATGTTATTTACAGGGCCAAAACCTGAATACGTACATGTGTATATATATAAATCAACAAGTGAAGATATATAAATCTATATATGTGTGTGTGTGTGTGTGTGAGTTGAAAAGAGAAGACGGGATATTGGTTTTAGAACCAACCTCGTTCAGAACAAAATTTTACCACCATAACTGGTTTCAGCAGTAACACAAACCGTTGGTGATGAATTTCAAATGCGGCCGAGGCCATGCTATCTGAAAACAAGGCTTCCGTTCTGTTGTACTCTTAAATTCTCGATAAGAGATTGGTAGAATGACTTCAGTGACTTCATATCATTGCCCTGATGATAAATAGTAAATACCACATGAATCACCCAATATTCATTATGAATCAAGAGAATTTACAGAACCGAAACTTTCATTTCTAACAAGATAATTGACTTTTACTGCATGAATCTTGAGGGAAAATGGTTAAAACCCTCTCGAAGAAGAATGAAAGATTCACAAAAGGTGATGAGTATGCGTGAGTATTTACCGTATGTAGGGGTGAGTTGAAACAAGATATGAAGGCGGTCAATTCGCGAGAAGGTGAGAAGTTACAAGATCACATGCCTCATAGAACACGTAATCACATGTGATATAAACATGTTGCATTGACCAGCCATAGAGGGGGTGACCTTCCTGCGACCAAGTCACCCGCATCCTTTTCGACATGTATCACATGTGATTCTTGGAACTTCTCGCCTTCTTGCAAATTGACCGACTTCTCGTTCTCACTTGATCTTGTCTATACATATATGTGTGCGTGTGTGTATGGGCTGGGTTTCGGTAACAAAACCTTCATCTACATTCAACTACCTATATTTACATATTTTTATCATCACGATCGAAACTTTAACAAATCCATGCATGTGAAAGTGATTAAACATATGTAAAAGTTGGTAAAAGTGAAGATAAATATGAAGATAAAGGTGGTTGAAGATAGATGAACGTGGTTGAAGGTAGACGAAGTTACGTCAAAAAGTCAACTCATCCAATGGCTTAGAATTGTTATCATCATTCTCATCATAACTGTTATTCTCACACGATCCCAAGTCATATATACATATATATAGTTATATAGTTATATACACACACACAAATATCAATGTCTATACAAAAGTCTATATCTACATATCTATTTATTATACAGATACTTTATGGTTTGTATCCCACATTGCATTTTGTTTACCTCTTTAATAGTTCCATTAAGAGGCAACCTCTGAACCGTTAAAAGGTGAATCTTGTTTGGTAAAAAAAAAGTCTGGCTCTTAATGGTTCTAAAACCCTATGAATGATTTTGTAACATGGGCCTTCCTGAACCATTAAGGGCCCTAGATTTATCGTAAACAATTACCAAATAATTATATTTCATTTTGCACTATATCATGAAAGTCTCTTAATCATTCTGACCACTTAATCATTTTGCACCAAACCATTCAGCAACTGCCGAACAGCCCAAATCTTTTTATATAAAAGAATGAAATGTACCTGCAGTTTCTGACAGTACTGCTCTGCTAAATCTTGAGGGCAATGTGCAGCAAGAAAACCTTTTGATACAAAATTCAGGAGAAAATCATTCCCAAATCTCTCATACATCACCTTCTGAGCTAACACTATTTCCCCAAATAAAACAAGCTGCAAAATAACATCGATAATCTTAGATAGTTGGTATATATAAACGTACATCTATGTGTGTCTGTATCTATAGAAAGTTCAGTTGCAAACTTGTTTTCCGTTGTGAATCAGGGGACAAATGGGGACAGTGGAACAAAAGAGAGTGTGGCGCGGGTCCCCATTTGTTCCATTCATCATGAATAATGAACGTGAATTATTTACACCATTCATGATATATTTCTTACACCATTCATGATAACATATGATTTGACCGTTTCTTATTTGGTTATTGTTCTCATATGAACCTAATCCTGCATATATATATATATACACACACACACACACGTGTTTATAGAGGAAAGTTCAGTTCCAAACTTGTTTTCCGTTGTGAAAGGCGACAAACGGGAGTACGACAAGTTCCTCATTTGTCCACATTCATCATGAATAATGAACGTGAACTTTTTTACACCATTTATGACGAATACCCCATGAATGTCTAGGTCACATGACGCATTCTCCTTTCTCTCCCGGTTTACAACAGAAGTCAAGTTTGCAACTGAACCTGCCATCTATGTGTGTCTATATATATTTACATTTGTGTGAATATGATTCTATGCATGTAGGACCATGTATGCTGTAAATATATAGGTATACGACAATTGCAAACTAAATTAGAGGATTGGTTTTGATTCTCTTTCCATAAAGAACAGAGTATTGTCGATATTAAAGACAGATCACAACAGATTTACTCAACAAAAAATGGAAGAAAATAAACTGCGAAAAAATGTGCAAAAATGCTACTCAAAAGCACGAACAAAAAAGAAATGGAACCCGTATGAAACCCGAACCACTGAACTAAATGGCACATCAAAAATATGAAGATAACAAAACCAGAAAATCTGAATGGAAAACGGACTTACAGTACTTGCATCACGGAACTCGAACGACTTATCAAGCACGCTGTACAAACAACAGTTTGTTGCAAAAGCCTCGATAACAAAACTTTGAAAACCGGGCACCTGAATACTCAACACATTAGATAACACAACGTAATTATAATAGCACCACCACGAGAAAACAAAAACCCGAAGGTACTACTTTACCTTTTCTTCGCCAAAAGGCCTCGCGCACCAATCTTTAATCAATCTGATAAATATTTGTACACAAGCCTAAAGAAATCCAAAAACAAGATTTCATGAGATCCAAATGATTATTTTCCAAATAAATAAATTGGAATTGACGTTACGCACCTTCCTAACAACGAGATCCTTGTGATTACAGGAAGTATACAACAATAACTGCATCATTGGATCCAAGTAGACTCGACTTTTAGTAGAAAGGAACACCGACGACAGATCATGTGTTGCCACCACATGAAGGAAAGTGTAGAACGTCCGTTGAAGCTCTTGCAATTCACGAATTTCCTAAAAATAATCGTAAATTGTTCATAATGTTCACTAATCATTGCTCTACAACAGTCTAAAACCGCAAACAACGGGCTGTTTGGGAAGGGTAAAACGGTCTTTCAAATCATGCAAACAGTTTATTCAGCACAACAAATAAATGCATTCTAGCTCAATCCATAAAGTGCTTAATTGAAAAACAACCAAACACCCCCTTAGGCAAGATAACGGATCAAACATGGCTCAAATTGGAAAATGAAAATGCAAGTCTGAATTGGAATACACTTAGCTAGTTGATATACCTCGGTGTTGCTGCCCGGCCCCGATGGAATTGTATCCCTTGGCAGAATACCAAATATCCTACTTGCAATAACAGGGTATACATTCTCCAAAATATCTTGGACAGAAGTATTGAATTTGCATATGAGCTGATTGATTAATACAAGAAACCCCACAAGTTCCTTCGGCTGCATGATAAAGGTCGTTAAAAAATAGAAAATAATCACGAAAGCAAACGATCATTAAATCCCATTACTTGAAAGAACATTGTCTTCAATTCACATAACAAATCTTTAACATACGAAATGTAAAGAGACTTCATACAGATAATAAAAAGCCTTCATGCATACAAAGAGCGTGCATGTGTGTATTTTTCAAAAACATTGCCATACGTGACGGTATCTAAATGGAGATAAGATGCATTTCCATAAAGATCTACAAACAAAAACGGATACTACGTGCTGAAAAATCAATACATTTTATCATACCAATAGCAAGACTAGATTAGAACACAACAGGCTGTCGACTTCAATCTCCAAAACACGCAGGAGTTTACGCATAGACATCAAGAAACCGAAAAACAATTGTTTGGACAGGCAAAGAAATATAAAGATGCCAATAATCATCAAGGATTGTTGTTTGAACAGGCCATCTTGGTTATGTTTTTGTGTACCTGATAACCTGTCTGTATGTTTTGTTTGTTGTTGTCTATTTTGTGTACCCTTTCGTATTTTCAAGTTCTTATATTCTTTCTCCGCTATTTTTTTATAAATATGCTGCTTTTTGCGCACTATGCACAAACCAACTGCTTCATGGAAACAGCCGCTCTACTCTCTACAAAACCCCACCTCTGGGTGGAGCTTACCCGTTGGTTTGGTTTGGATTTTTATGTCATCGAAGGCTCTAATAAATATCTCTTATTAAATACAGCAGAAACAACACTATTCATCTTGAAAACACATGCACGAATAAGAAGTTGAAGAAAAAATCAGTACCTCACTTTCAGCAAGCAACTGCTCCAATGCCTTTGGAAGGTAAGGAAATACCGATGATCCTAATGTCTCCACCATCCGGTGAATAAATGAAGTAACCTGCGCAAAGAAAGAGATAAAGTTAGACAAAAGGAAACCATAAAGCGCAAGCAAGAGAAATTCCCAGTGGTACCTTAGAGCGCAACGTTTCCACTTTTGGAAATATCACAAGGATTTGTAGAAGCACGTCCAACGTCTGTAGTGAGAAAAACGCCAAAAAGGTCAGCAGATAACAATACGTTTTGATATTGGATATAAATAAACAAATAGATCGAGATTACGAACCTGCTTGAACATGAGGCCAATGGCAGGACGACTAGCGGTCACAAGACGCTCACTAAATCCCTATAAACATGGAGACAATAGTAAATTAGCTTTTGGGCATTCACATGTGAATATAGAGACAAGAGTAAATGAGCTTTTGGGCATTCACATGTAAATATAGGGAGAAAATAATACTGTGGTTATCTACATTCATAGATGAATAGGAATGATTGAAACCTTGCTTAGTGCGTTTATGGCCATGATAATTTGTTGGATATTCGCAACTTTTGATGGTGATTCTTCCGAGTTCTGAACTCTAGAACTCGCGAGCAATATCTCAACCTAAAGTATTACGAAATTCTCATATTATACATACAACTTTTGAAAGAAAGATTGCTCAACATAAATTGGTTTTATGTATCAAAACCGAGAGTAAAGCATTTAACCTGTTGACAAAGAGGAGTAAGCAGAGACGAAAGGTACTCTGATTGCTTTTCAAGCGGCACATCTTCCATTCCAATTAACAACCCGATCGCCTGCAAGAAAATATAAGCCCGTGAAACGAAAATGAATATGAAAAGGAAGAACTTCGAGCAGACCCATCTTCACAATTACCTCAAAAATGTGAGTCCCATCTTCGCATCCTGAAAGATCTTTGGCCGCATAATCCATACTCGTGAATTGTGCAACCGTGTCGTGCAGACTCTGCACAACGAAACATATATCAGAACCCGCATGTATAACTGTAATTAGCTTTAGAAATCGGAAACAAAATGCATTTGAAATACCTGCAAAATTGTTTCGATAAAAGGCACGAGTTTGGCTTTGAGAAGTTTCACAACCCTCATGAAAAGATAACTCGCTCTTCGGCTAACTTTCACCTTTGAATGGTGAATCCCACGATCATCAAGAAACGCGGCTAAAACTAATGGAATATATTGGTTGTTTTCGAGAACAAACTTCATGTATCTCGTGATTGTATCAAGATAAACGAGTGCAACAAGCCGATTTGAATGGCAAGGGAATTTGGTCGATAAAAGCATCGGCACAAGTTCTCTCAAGATTCCACTTCCGGTTCTCATAGCCTCTTCGCTTAGCGATTCCCCAAATGCATAAAAAAGCGAAAGAGCAGCCTCGACTTCTTCAACGTTTATATCGAGCGAAGACCCCACGGCACTCGAAAGTGAGTTTCTTATGAATAATTGGGTGACATCGGGTGCTACACGGCCTACATTTCGAAGCAAAACAAGAAGATCTTTCCGATGCTCGATCATTCGATCTTCCTCTTCACTCCCTACTTTATCTAACACATCAAGATTATCACGATACATGGGATCGAACCGAATGTGCATACGAATCACCTCCAATATCTGCCCAACATGAAAAAGTTGAGCTTCCGTCAGTGGAGACGGGCCTTTCATGGTGGCAACATATCCGGAAAGAAACTGAACGATACTGAACGTAGTATCGAGTTCACAGTTCTGCATTACGTAGAAAACCGATGGCAAAACTTCATTTAAAAGCTCAACCGAAGCCCGTTTAAGATCACCATTCAAATTCTTCAAACAATCAAGAATTTCAGACGCATACCCTGTAAGTAAAGATGCTATCCCTAATACAAACTCGGAATCACCATCACCTGCCACCAAACCGAAAACCCGACTCATTTGAAGGCTCTGCAAAAGAGTAAGCTTAGCTTGTGAATCCATTCGCTTAGAAACAACAGCAAGAACACAACCGGAAGCAGAACTTCGAAGCTGATCCGGTAATCCATCGACCAAAATCAGTTCGAACAACAAAGGAAGGAAAGTATTGTTTGCAATTAAACCGATTTCGATCCACGAAATGTATCTCCTCATTGTATCTAAAACAAATGCACATAATTCGGAATCCGAATTCCGATATAACGACAAGATATCGTACCAAGCTCGAACTATTTGACCTACACATTGTTGTCTCATTGCATCCTTAATTTTCCCAGAAATTGCACCTTCTTCTACAGTTCGTGGGTAATCTTGGCTAATCAATTCATCATCTAAAGCATTCAAAACTCGAGAAAACATGTCGATCACAACCCCACCTTTGCTCAAATTAGGCAAAAAATCAAGAAAAATCGAAGACCAAATTGAGGGATATTCGAAATAGATCAAAGTGACCAACACTTGAGCAAGTTTGTTCTTCACATATGAAGGACCATCTAAAACCTTAACAGAATTGGAATTATCGAGCGATTCATAGCATGCCATGGAGAACACGGACGTCCGCACAAACGATTTCTCATCGGAACTCATTCCGGAGTAACGACCACGCAAAACTTCGTGCAAACATTGCAAACACCAAAACTGAACTTGAACCAGTTTCGAAAAACACAATCGATCGATACAAATACTGCAAATAGATGGATTATCTTTGATTTGTTGACAGAATGCAATCGCTTGTGATTTCAGTTCCGATGTAACTGTCCCCGATTCATCGAAGATGATGAGTATCGCCTTCTCCAAATCGTCCATGGAGTACAATTCAGACAATCGTACACAATAAACCCTAAAAACCTCCTCGGAGAACTCTTGAATGTAAATCGACAAATTAACAAATGAAACGAGTCGAATCAACAGATACTCGTCATACCTTTCCGAACAAAAGAAGCTTTTTGATATCTGGCGAACCGATCTTGGTTCTCAAAAAACTAGGGTTTCTTTACAAATACGGAAAAAATGGAAACATAAAAAAGCAATTTTTTTGTGGGTTTTAGGGTTTCTGATGGTTCCAAATTAACATATAAGGGTTATAAAGAAAGATTGGGGATTTTGGTGAGGTTTTTGATGAGTTTGTGAGGGGGGACTGAAGAACGAAGGTTTATTCAAGAACGCATCGATTAATCACACCGCCACCCATAAACCCACGTATTTATATGCTACAATTTTGAAGTGGGTCGAATCTTTTTCCATGGATTCTTGTTTTGAATCACAAAATTTCCTTTTAAATGTGTGTATATTTCCTAATAATGATATATTTCCTTGGACAAATGAGATATTTCACTTACGCATGGAAATGTGTCTTGACTCGTCGGGAAATTCGGTTCATCCGTCGTGGCCGGGAACGGGGATTTCCCGTTAAATTGTGAATGGGGACAGGGACTGGGATCCCCGTTTGTCTCAAACTGGGGATGGAGATGGGTATCGTACTCCCCGTCCCGCCCTGTACCCGTTATATATATTAATTAATAAATTATATATCTAGAGGTTGGTTATTATACAACATTTGACATTTGTGCAACCAATACAACTCAATCTCAACCGTCCATTTCATTTGATTAATATGTGATTTTATAGAAGTTTTAATTGTTTACTAATATAAAGTATTAATCATAATTAATGAACCATATTCATTTTCCATAAATATTCAAATCATAATTAATGAACTCTCATCATGTTCATAATAAATATCTCAATTTATTGGGTTGCATTGGTTGTACAAATGCGATGGGTTGTATTTAAATCAAACTCTACATATCTATATATATACATATATATATATGTATATTTTTTATTTCAACTAAAACGGTGACTCATAATTTCATATTTCCTAACTAGGTTTATAATATAAATTTGTTTTTTTTTATGTTAGTATGTAATATTTTGGATGTCAAGTCAAAATACAACTACTTGATATTTTTGTATATTGTTCGATATGGTTTTATATTACTCGATATTTTTGGTACATGTGACTTAAAGGTTTTGGGATTAAATTGAATTTTTTCTTGGTTTTAAGTTATTAATTCTTATATGATAGTTGTGTTTTTCTGTATTAAATTAAATTCATTTTGGTTTTAGGTTTATTGAAACTGTTTGATATTTAAACATGTATAGTCTATCACATATTTAATTTAAAATAACTTACATAAACGAAAAAAAAAATAAAAATCTTCATATCCCCGTTGGGGATCCCCGTTCCCTGTTGGGATGGGGATGGGGATGTCATTATATTCCCCAGTGGGAATGGGGACAAGGACGGGGATAGAGAATAGTAATCAGAGATGGGGATTCAGGTCCCCGTCCCATCCCCTCCCCATTCTCATGCCTAATTTCACTACATATTTCAGGACTTCAACCCACTACGTCACAATCCTTGTGGCTAATCTGGTAATTGTTTATCGGCTCAGTTAAGATATGTTTGATTCGTGGACAAAATACTAGATGACATGATTAGATTGAAAAAGTTGTCTCGTATTGTGTTTGGTAACATTAGACAACAAAAAATTGAAGAGGTTGTCTAATATAATGCTTGATAAAAGCTGTAATAAAAACCGAGAGTCTTACTTGGTTAGCATTTACAGGAAAAATTATCACATACTGTGACGTTTAGATGGGCTAGAGTCTTACCTAGTACGATAAGTAAAAGCGTTAACTCTTACAAAGTAAGCATTTTGGTGAACAACCCCTTATTTTAGATATTTAATTATTTTTCTCTTGGTGATTTTTATGACTTAATACTAAGTTGGACACCACATCAGCATGGTAACCGCTTTATGCTTCAACCGGTTACCTGAATACTTAAATATTTAAAATTTTACATCTTAGGAACCAAAAATTAAAGTTTCGAAAGTCTGTTATCCAAAATATGAATCAAGTTAAAATACTTTACTTTTTCATGTAATTTGTTTTTTTATTAAACATGGAGAATATATTATACATCTATCGTATTTTACAGTAATAGATTCAAAACGACGTTATTAAAAGACTTGTTCTATGCTGAAAAGAATCCGAATATGAAAACTTGTAGAAGACGATTGCTTGAGGATTAAGTTTCCAAATATATATATTTTTCAATAAATATTTTATAACCTTCTTTTCTTGGTTGCCAAGTTACTTGTTAAAGCAAATTGTTTGATTAAAAGCTATTCTTGAACAAATGAGTTATAAGTATCAAACTCTGTTATATTTAATGACATTAAAAAATATTTAATAACTCATTAATTATATTTAGTAACCCATTGACCATTTTTCCAACAAATAAACTATAAAAGGAGTGTTTGGCAGTTGTTTAATAATTAAATGGTCAGAATGATTAAGAGGTTTTCATGATATAGTGCAAATGAAATATAATTGTTTGGTAAGTGTTTACAATGAAATTAGGGTGTTGAAAGGTTAAGGGAGACACAAGATACAAAATCATTCAGAGAGTTTTATAACTATTAAGAGGCATACCTTTTTGTGTCAAACAAGATTTGCTTCTTAACGATTCAGATACTAACTCTTAATAAAACTATTAATAAGTAAACAAACAAATACATTATCATCATTGTTAAAAATAAAAGGGTGATTTATACTGGTCATTGTTATTTTTATTTTATTTTTTTTAATTATATAAAAAAATAAAATAAACTTTGGTTTAATTTATATTTTAAGTAATTAATTTTTTAAATCATTATTTAAAGAATAAAACAACTGAAAGAAAAAAAAATGCTAAAACATATAATATTAGAAAATTTGTTTGCCTTATACAACTAAACCCAGTTTAAAAAAAAAAAACAGATACAACGGTTATCTGGAATATCATATTTAAACACAATAGTTACATTGTGTAACTAAAGATGGCCAAGGGACTGTTTGGTTGGATTTTCATTAAATTATGTATGGATAAATATGTGTGAATTAATCTGTCTGTATAGATTAGAAAGACTTTTGTTTTAGAGAGTTTTCATATGGGGTGAGCATGTTTTTTTTAACCGAGAGTAGTAGATTTAGAAAAAACTTGGTTTTCTACATAAAACTTCTGACTATAAACTTACTGAATAAACCATTTTTTATATTATTAAGCTACTATCAAACAATCATGTATAGCTGATTGAATAAACTATGGGTCAAATTAGGCTCATTAAGCTGCTACAAACGTACCCTAAATATCGATCTCGAACCAGTCCCAAGTTGATCGCTTTAGACTCGGGCTGACCGGTCCCGATTTCGACCGGAATTCTAAAATTCCATATGACAAATGGATCAAAATTTCAAAAGCCCATTGAAAGTGGGTTATGAGGCTCCTAGATAAAACAATAAAAGGGCTTGGAATGGATGCTATTGGCCCATTCAAATTGGGTACTTCTGTTATGGACCATGGTCCAGCCTAGCTACATGGGTTAGCCCACGCACCATCTTGATTCATGATCAAATCAACTATTTTAGGTTGTTTCTTTCTCTTAATAGTTTCATTAACAGGCAACCTCTGAATTATTAAGAGATGAATCTTGTTTGGCAAAAAAAAAAAAAAAAATCTGCTTCTTAATAGTTCTAAAACCCTGTGAATGATTTTGTATCATGGGCTTCCCTTAACCATTCAACGTTCTAATTTCGTTGTAAATAATTACCAAACAATTGTATTTCATTTTGCACTATATTATGAGAATTTCTTAATCATTCTGCACCAAGTCATTCAACAACTGATGTGGTTTAAAAAAAAAGAGGTAAACCTTGCTCTCACTTGTCTCTTGTAACTATCACACAGACAACAAACACCGTATCGAAAGTCGAAACCTGTTATTTAGGAAGCATTGTTGGCTCTCGTCACACATTTGTATGATTAAAGACGGTTATGATTTATATTTTGTTTAAACATAAATTTTGAATATTTAATATAAGAAGTTGAATTATTTTTTTGTTTACAGTTTCTCGCCCTCAGTTTGCAAATTTGTATGCATAAATATCCTTTTTTATGTCGTATGTTATGCTGTTAATAGTGGCGCTATTGCATAGCAATAGCGGAATTGCGGACTAAGATAAAATTGCGTTTCCGATATTTGATGTGAAATTGTGGACTGATATTCCGATATTTTAGCTTGGGCCTCTTCAGAACTACGTTGACTCGGATGCTGAACCTATTGTTTGTGATCAGCTCGTTTATGAGTGTTTTTCCTATTTTGTTTTGTTACACTTGTTTAAGTTGATGTTTTGATGTTGAAACTATATTTTTAATTAATGCATATGATATGTTTATGTATGCGTGCGCGCACATACACACACACACATATATATCTATATATATAGGGGAGCGTTCAAATAAAAACCACCCAATTTGTATAAACCATGAAAACCACATTCAACCAATCATAATTTTTCATTTTGTTTATTTTTTTGTAATTATGAGAGGTTGATTAACCATTTTTATTGTGAAGGGTGTTAATCATAGAGATTACTGTCTTCATTATTTTAATTTTAGAGAAATACATGAAACAGTTTCATTAAAATTTCATTAAATATTATATGAAACAATTTCATAACCATATATGAAACAAATTCATCAAAAAAAGTATTATATGAAACAATTTCATAACCATATATGAAACAAATTCATCAAAAAAAGTATTATATGAAACAATTTCACAAGATTAAACAATTTCATGAAAATTTTTCATAAGATTAAACAATGAAATGGACGTATGAGGGTGGTTTGTACGGTTTACATAAATGAGAGCGGTTTTCATTTGATCGCTCCTCTCTCTCTCTCTCTCTCTCTCTCTCTCTATATATATATATATATATATATATGGGTCTAATCAAACGAGAACTAATTATTTTGTGGTAACTGTGAGAACTAATATTAACCACAAATCAATAGATAAATTAGGAAATTTATAATTTTGGCAATTTTGAATTAAAATATTAATGCAAGGATATTTTTGGTATTTTAAAACTTTCCTCCCTCGTCTCTTCTCTCTCCGGCCACCGTCCTCCGGTGATACTACAGTGGTATCATAATGCATCATATATGTGTTTGGGTATCACATTGATGTCGTTTGTGTGGTCGATCGAAGATGTAACACAGTGGTATCACTATGCATCTTATATATAATTAGGTATCACAATGTATCTTTTGTTTAACAGAGTCAA